AAATTTGAATTAAATTGACCGTTGTAAATCTTTTTTGCTCTTGACAGAAAAAAAAACTAGAATATCAATATTAATTAAATTTTAAAATTTCCTATAAAAAATTTTTACCGTTTCACATTTTCCAGAAAATCCCTCCCAAGGCATAAAAACCCTTTTACCATATAGAACATTGTCCAGAGTTCAGGCACGGACTACTTTCACACTCATTTACCTCTGTAAAAAGGGGAGTAGATATAGATCTTTAATCAATAAATGCTTTAATACAGAAGTTTTGCAATTTTTGTACAACACAAAAGCACAATGGAAGTTTTCATTCTGTTTCATTGTCAAGATCAAAGTGGGATATAAGTGAAACTATGAATTGGCGTCACGAACTACCACACATTTTAACGCTACACATTTTGGCAGGAAATGGGGTCTAAAATATATGTCGTGTTACAGTATTAAGTTTTTTTATCTACGTTATACTTATCTTGTATCTACGGAGGCACAGAGGGGACATTCCAATTTTATTTTATTTTCCTATCTCGTGGCTACGAGATATAACTCAGAAAAAACAACAACAAAACAAAATGCTATCTCGTAGCCAAGAGATGTAACTCAGGCATTTGTGGGCATTTAACAGCTGACCCAAATATTGATCTAGATCCTTAAATTATTCTGATCCAATTAATTTCGTATTTGTAGTGTAATTCTTTAATTTTATCCCAAATTTGAGTTGTTTCAATCAGCATTTATATACATTTTGTTAAGGAACCATTAAATTCTAGCTTACTAATTTTAGATTCATAAAGCAATGCAAATAAAATAAATCAGGATCATTATATTATAAGATTCTGATCGAGATTTTTCTTTCAGATAGTTACCAATGAAGTTAATATTACAAAATGTCACCTAAATGGATACATCGTTGATGTTTGAAATATGGTTACATTGTGAAAACGTTTTGGTTTTGCTTTTTGTTTTTTTTTCTTTTTTTTTTGGGTTTGTTTTTAAAATAAAAAAAAATTTCCCGTTTCAATCTCCAGCAAAAAACTAATTTTTTTCCCAAAAAACGCCTGGGGAGTCTAAACCCAAAAACTTAAAAACCAAAATATTTCAACCCCTTTGGGGGGGGTTTTTGTTAAAATATTTTTTTTTATTAATTTTTATTTTTTATTTTATTATTTGTATATCTATCTTTCATTCATCACGTTTTCTATTTGACATGTGTCGCAACTGTCCTGGACGTAAAGTTAATTGATCAATGCGGCCCAATTCGACCAGTCCATTAACAAAACAAATAAAATAATATATGTAAATAGACCAACCAAAGTTTTAATTAAAATCAATGCATTTGAAATAACACAAAGTTCAGAAACGATTGTATGAAGTAAACAAACAAATGAAAGTGTTTAAATGTTAGAATATGTCAATATTATTATATTACTTGACAATATGAAATATCATTAGCAATAGTTGTATCGAAACTTTTGGTGTCCTTTCCTGCTTTAATGAATGATCAAATGGACGTTTCAGGAAGACACAATTTAGAACAAAGTATACCAGTTCCGCAGTTTGTTCCCGACCATCCTTCTGCACATGTACAACTGTAGCTCCCTAGCAAATCATTGCACACACCGCCATTTTGACACGGGCTACTTTCGCATTCATTTATTTCTAAAAAACAATAACAGAAATAGGTTTGTTATAGGCGATGAGATAATCTCAGTCCCTATTGAACTAATTTTGCTGTTAAGTTCGAGAAAAATGTTTTAAAACAGTATGTTATAAGAAACTTTAACGTCGCACCAACACACTATATGTCATATGGCGACTTTCCTACTTTACTGGTGGAAGAAGACCTCAGGTGCCCTTCTGTGCATTAATTATTTCAAGAAGGAACGGACGGACACCTGAGTAGAACCACGGACGTTCTGTAAGCTAGTTGGATAGGTTCCTCACATGAAAGAATCCAACGTCCATGTCGGTATTCAAGCCCACAGCGGCGAGGGGCAATGGTTGAAAGTCAACGACCTTAACAACTCGGCCACGGAACCCCGCTTCCCACTGTTTTTTTAGATATGATTGTGACATACGTACATTAATATCAATATCATAAATTCAAAAAAATTTTTGGCAATTTTAAAAAAAAGTCCAAAACCCCCCCATGAAATCAATTATGCAATTACTTTCTAAAAACTTTTTTTTTTAAAAAATTTTGAGGAAAAATTGAAAATGTTTACATAAATTTTATAAAATGGGGCGTCAGCAACCACATAAATTTTCAAAAAACCCAAGGATTTGAAAAGTTTCATGCATTGTAATAATTTGGCCCCTTCATTTCAAAAAAATAAGGTTTGCACCCGCATGGTCCGACAGCCTGCCATGGCAGCTGTCGGGTCCAGCTGTCCGCAACGCACTAGTTGTTTTTGTCTGCACGGGTCATTTAAATGCTAAAACCAAATCAATTAAAAGGCAAGAAGGGTTCAGCTGAATTTTAATTTACGTTTGTGTAAATTTGAAATTAGAATTCCGTTGCAATTGAAACTTCAATCGAAAGTTTCGTTTCTTGCATATGCCTGAGGTAAAAAACGAAAGGATAAAATCATATTTTAATCATTATTATAATACTACTTAACTTCACAACTTAAAAAGCAAAATGTGGTGTTTACCAATGCATGTAAAGTTCGTTTCCGTCCATGTCCCGTTAGAAAGGCACGTTGATGACACTGTTGTGTATACCACCATATCATAGAATGTTTTACAACGATGCGCAACTTTCTTCCCAACATAAAAAATGTTTCCATCCGTATATGAAAACGTAGTTTCATCTTGAACCAGCCTGCACTCTGTAAGTATTGCCGCATGTATTAGTTGTTTTGAAATCCTAGTTTCGGTATGTGTGTTTATTTTGGATAATAACTCGTTGACAAACAAAAAACAATGCACCACAATGTGCAAACAAATGAGCCGCGTCATGACAAAACCAACATAATGGGTTTGCGACCAGCATGAATCCAGACCAGCATGCGCATCCGCGCAGTTTGATCAGGATCCATACTGTTCGCTATCAGTGTCTCTACTTGTTATAGGGTTTGTAAGCGAACAGCATGGATCCTGATCAGACTGCGCGGATGCGCAGGCTGGTCTGGATCCATGCTGGTCGCAAACCCATTATGTTGGTTTTGTCGTGACGCGGCTCAAATAACTTTCATACTGCAGGTGTGTGACGTCGATTTTTTTTAATAACCTTAAAATGTTTAATTTATTACCTTTAAACAAGATTGCTGAAAATTTTAGAATTTAGAATGATTTTTTAAATATTTTTTCATGTAAATGAAACGTGTAATATAATTATTGAGTTATTGAGATATCTGACAATTCATATTTGATTTTTTTCTGATTATTCTAAAGGTAAATATCATTGTAATAGAAAGCAGATATTTGCGTAAAGTGCGTGTATAACAATACATGCATTCATTCCTATCACAAACATAACATTTTATTGAAATACCGTTTTTTAGTTTTATGCTTTTGACTAAATTGCTTATTTATCAATCAAAAATATATTTGATAATTTCACAGTGAAAATAAACAAAATATAATTTTGACCATTCTTAAGAAGAGACAATTTTTGAATTTCTCACAGCCATCTTCATTTGATTCGAATTCAGTCTAAACAAACGTACAGTAATAAGTCTGGAAATGGGTGATGGCCAAAATAAAAAATAAAAAAATAATGTATGAACATTGCTGACTCGGTTCAATGGGTTCTTCACGAGTGTTACATCTCTAACCCCTCAAGCCCACCCGTATTCAATCGTCAACACTTACATGATGAAAGTATGATACATTTGATAGATTAGCCTGATTAAACAGTCTGAAATAAATTTAAATAATGCTACTTATCTATAAAATAGAATAATCATACAAGATATCTCACTATATTAATTAACAAGTACCTTCAATTACACATCCACTTGTTTCCACATGGCATACTTCCTTGTCTGTACATGTATTGCAGGTCAGGTAATTGGTCTGGAAAATAAATTTACCTTTCTATTGTTAATGTTTCTCTTAAGAGTACAAAGATTTCGGAATATAGTGGCAAAATTTACCTACTTTAAAGATCGCGAAATGATTAGACGCGCAAGCCCAGCATTGAAAAAAACTCGATATTACATTAATGAGCAATTTCCTAAGGAGGTAGCAGACCGACGAAAGGCACTGTTACCAAAGCTTCGCGAAGCACGTGCTGCTGATAAAAAGGCCTGGTTCAGCTACGATAAGCTATTTATAGATGGGAAGCAGGTCCGCTTAACCGAGCCTGTCCAAAGCGGAACCGGAAGTACTTGCACAGATAATTCGTCTGCATACTAGGAAATATCGGAGGCTGAAGTCAAGGTGCTCTCATGGAACATTAATGGTCTGTCAACACATAAAATCGGAGACATTGACTTTGTAAAATATATTTGTAACTATGACATAATTTTCTTGTATGAGTCTTGGGCAAACGAGCACACAAAAATCAATATAATTGGTTATACTTGTTTAAACTGTTTTCGAAAATTTCAACACAAAAGATCAAAGCGCTGCAGCGGTGGAATTGTTGTCTATATAAAAGAGAGTTTACAAAAGGGCATTTCTGTTGTTAAAACATACCATGATGCTATTATTTGGGTAAAACTTGATAAAAACTTTTTTGGCCTAGACATGGATATTTTTCTTGCAGGTGTTTATATATGGGTTGAAAATTCACCCTCTTATAACATTATAAATACTGATTTGTTTGAATTGCTGCAGCAAGATATTAATAGTTATCAATCAAAAGGAAAAGTATTCTTGATAGGTGACTGGAATGCGCGTGTAGGGTTAAAAAGAGACTATATCGTGTGTGATCATATTATTGACTTTTTGAACGATGACAGTTATATGCCTGATACACCGTGTGAGCGAAAATCAATGGATAGAGTTACCAATACACACGGCTCAAAACTTATTGATTTGTGCAAGTCTATGTCGTTAAGAATAGCGAACGGCAGATTAGCGAGCGATTATCTTTTACATTTATCAACAGCTTTGGCTCAAGTTAATAGACTATCTATTGTTAAGTAATCAAGATTTTCATAGTATTGACATTTTTTGATTTGTGTTGCACCATTAACTGAATGATTTGATCATGGATCTGGTTATTTAGTATTCTGCTATGTTATAATAAGCAAACTATAAAACCTTCATATGAGAAAACTAGTATTAATTGGTCTGAACAAAATAAAAATGAATTTAGAAGACATTTAATTGCAGAATTGCCTGTGTTAAACCGTATTGTTGATGCATGTTCTATTAATTGTGACGGTGAAACTATAGACTCTTGTGTTCAAAGGTTTACAGATGTTATTAATGATATAGCATTGCCACTTTTTAAGAAAACTACCATTATTGACCCAAATAGAGTAAAATGTGATAATAGAGTATGTAAAAGGGCTGAGTGGTTTGACGATGAATGTCGACAAGCTAAGTGTGCTTTTTTCGATTCACTTTCTGTTTATGATAGACACAAAACCGAGGAAAATAGGACTGAAATGTTACGTTTAAAATGTGTGTATAAAATGTTAGTAAAACGTAAAAGAAACAAATTTGAATGTGAAAAAATAAAACGAATTGAAAATTTACGTCATTCAAAACCAAAAGACTTTTGGAAGTTTTTTCGTAGAAAAAATGAGAAAGGAAGTGGCACATTAACTGTAGATGATTTTTTGAAATATTTTTCAAGTTTACAAAATGAATTTCAAACCCCTGTGAATAATGAAGCTGAGGAATTTTGTTCAGAATATGATTTTGATGCAAATAGGTGTAGTTTTGAAAGGTTAGATAAGCCAATCACAACTACTGAAGTCGAATTTATTGTTAAAAAACTAAAAAGAAATAAAGCTTGTGGTAGTGATAATTTATTAAATGAATACTTTATAGAATGTTATGATATACTTTCGGCACATTTGGTAGATATTTTTAATGCAGTTTTGAATTCTGGACATTTTCCATCTGATTGGTCTAACGGTATTATAGTGCCTATTTTTAAAAAGAACGACCCATGCGATGTACGGAATTATAGAGGCATCACACTTGTTAGTTGTCTATCGAAAATTTTTACTGGAATTTTAAATAAACGACTGAATGATTGGTCCGAAAAAAATGATATACTAAGCGATGCTCAATTTGGTTTTCGCAAGGGTCGTTCTACGGTAGATGCAGCTTTTGTATTAAACGCTGTTGTACATAAGATTTTAAATGAAAATAAACGTTTGTATTGTTGTATGGTTGATATGAAAAGAGCATTTGATAGTGTGTATCTAAACGGCCTATGGCTAAAATTGCATAAGTTAGGTATTGATGGAAAATTATTTAGAATATTTAGGGACATGTATTCACAAGTTAAAGTTTGTATCAAGGGTTGTAACTCATATTCGGACTATTTTGAGTATGCTGTAGGCTTAAAACAAGGAGAGGTTATGTCCCCTTTATTGTTCTCATTATTTGTTGATGATCTTGAGCTATTTTTACAAAGAGGGCATGACAGTGGTTTAACCTTAGATGATATTACTTTTATTCTAATGCTTTTTGCAGACGACATGGTTATTTTAAGTGACACTGTTTGCGATCTTCAAAATAGTCTAGATTTATTATATACATACTGTAACAAATGGGGCCTAGAAGTAAATACCCTCAAAACAAAAATAATTGTTTTTAGGAAAAGAGGTCACATAAAGCAAAATGTGCATTGGACATATAATAATGAAAACATAGAAATAGTTGATAATTTTAATTACCTTGGGATTGTTTTTAACTATACGGGTACATTCATACTAAACCAAGAATCATTGGCTGGCAAGGGCCTTAAGGCCCTTAATATTTTGATGCATAATATAAAGGGATTAAATCTTAAACCTAGTGTTATATGCCAACTTTTTGATGCTTTTGTAACAGCTACTCTTAATTATGGTTGCGAAATTTGGGGATTCAGTAAGTCAAAAGAAAATGAACGGATCCATCTGAAATTTTGCAAAATGTTATTAAATGTTAAATCTTGTTGTACAAATATGGGTGTGTATGGTGAATTAGGGCGCTATCCGCTTTACATTAATAGATATGTACGCATTATTAAATTCTGGTGTAAAATTGTATCGTCTACAAATATATTATTAAACAGACTATATGATAATTTTTGTAAATGTAATGTTATCAAAAATAACTGGGCATATCAAGTTAAAAGTATTTTGGACTGCTATGGGTTTTCATATGTTTGGAACAACCCATCCTGTGTTGATCTAGGTAAATTTCATCTACTTTTTAAAGCTCGACTAATTGATACCTTTAAACAAAACTGGTTTCAACGATTGCAAGAATGTGAAACATTATTTATGTATAAGCAATTTAACACAGGATTTAGATTTGAACCATATTTAGATTTATTGCCATTCAAGTTTCGAAATGCTTTATCAAAATTAAGATTATCTTCACATAAACTGGCTATTGAAACTGGACGCTATTCTAGAAACAGAGTTGAACGAAATGAGCGTTATTGTATTTTTTGTCAAAACAGAGATATTGAAGATGAATACCATTTTGTTATATCATGTCCGTTGTACGAAGATTTTAGAAAACAATATATCAAAGCATATTTTTATAGAAGACCAAATGTTATTAAATTTACAGAGCTTTTTAAGAGTGATAATCAAGCTATAATTAGAAATCTTTCCAAATTTGTTTACAATGCTTTTATACTTAGAAAGTCTTTGCTATGTTAACTTTGCCAGTTTTATGAAAGACATTTACTTCACTTTGATTTTGTGTATGATATTGATTTATATGTAAACATCTTATTCATCCTCCACAAACAACATGTTAACCATGTAAAACGTGTTCACTGTTTGTTAAATCACATGATAAAATTATGATATTTATGTATATGCAATTGTATGACAAAAAACTGTATTGTTTACGTCAATAAAATTATCTATCTATCTATCTTAAAAACATGTGCCATACAATGAAACTGTCCATTGTGAATTTTAGAGATCTCAAAATCATGTATGTTACCTTGGCTGCATACCTTTTGCAGAAAAAAGCGGTTTTTGTAGAAATGCGCTTTTAGTTTGAACTGATACCTTATATCTCATTTTATAATTTCATTATTGCCTCAATTAGAAGTTTTCGAAACAGAAATTTGGTCATATGGTGTGTGGTTTTATTTTTAAAAATCATAAAATAGGCCGAGATATTTAGTATTTGTAATATTTTATATACTACTTACTAAGTCCCATGAACTCTTCACTCCAAAGCCATATCCGTCAGATTCAACGATACCAAAAGTTTCATTTAATTCGGAGCCTCGTATTAGGAAACACAAAGTGGTTTTGAAATGATAATTAACATAGGCGCATAACTTTCTTTTCTTGCACTCTGTAATACATGTGTACATCGTGGTTTTATAAAACAAAGTAATAACTCCAGAAATTAGTTCCATGCTATCTCCATCGCGACGATAAAGTTCTACTTTTCTTCCAAAATCTATTTTTTCGGTCTCGTCAAAACCCCTGATAGTTGCAAAGACTGCAACCGCAACAGTCAAAAATATATTGAAGAATTGCATTTTTAAATTTTGATGACAACACTGGATTTTTCTAACGGTTTTAAAAACCAGTTAATATGTTCATAAAGTTATTTTTCAAATTGTTACGGTCACATTTTCTCCTTTATCTTGATTTGCAAATAAATAAACAAATAAAAAGAAATATACAGACGACATTCTAAAAATGTGTATTGTGAAATAATATATATTATCTATTGTCCTCTGTAATATCAAACATTTAAAAGTAAAAGTAAATTATGTGTCCAATCCGGGGACGTTTTATCAAAGACAAATAACATTTCGCAGAATATCAATACATTTTACACTAAAAGGTTTTTGATTCTTATAAATTGATTATTTAGGTAACTATGTCGGTTAAGTGAAAATCAAATTCAATAGAATAACTGAGAAACTTGTTATAAAGGTGACGTCGCGGAAGAACAATTCAAAATGGGGCCCACTATTTGATCGATTTATAAATTTACTAAGAGCGGTCAATTGGGTATATAGTCCAACAAGAACAACGATCAATGTTTTAATGATTTTAGGGATAAGTTGAAAATTATATTGTTTGATAAGAATAAGATTACGTAAGCTGAAAAAACCTAATATAGAAAATCACAAAGAACAGGGGCGGATACAGAACATGGTTTCCTGGGGGGCTGACATATGGGTGGAAGATTGTGATGGAAATAACCCAACAGGCGAAAAATTGTGCACTTTTGTTTGAAGATTGGGTCAGCATCTTGTTCATGTGACAAAAATTGCAATTTGATGTGTTTTATATATGGGTCATCTTATGAGTGGCAATGCATTTTGCTTATATATGTTTATATGATATAATATGGAATAAAGTAAAAATATATGTAACTGGGGTGGGCTTGGGAGGGGCGTCCCCTTCCATAGACTGATAAAATTTTGAAATATGAGGTTGAAAATGGTGTTCTTTCCTTGACTTTCAAGTGTTGTTTATGGTACCTTTTGGATGATTTTACATCACACTGTATTTTGTATGCAAGGTTTCAAATAGAATTCCCCTGGTGTTAAGTAGGAAGCATTGTATGTGCGACCGTTGATAAAAATAATTTCAAACACTTGATCAATTTACTCATCTGAATAATAGACGATTTTCCAAATATATAAGTGGTATTAAAATATTGCCTTTCTATTGTGCTAAAACATAATTTTAAACACTATAGTATTCAATAAGATTTTTTCCATCATTGAATCCAGAGGCCAGTACAGTTTAAATTTTATTCAAAAGAATCTAACTGCAATAAAAAGTTACTAAAAGCAAATGACCAATCTTTTCTTCTTGGTAATAATCTAAGTTAGTTAATTTCTTAGTTATTAAAATGCGATTCCTTTAATATTATCATTATAAAGCTCGCCATCTTTTTAATTTACAATTTTTTTTTTTAAATTTATTAATTATAGCGCTTTCCTTAAGAAAATGGGAAAAAAAGATTAATTTAATTAAAGTTTAATATGGTGTACTTTTTAACATATGTATTTGCCACTATCTGTGACTATTAATTTCATTAGACCTTTGGAAAGTAATAAACCAATCAATTATGCCGTTTAAACATTGAAGTCAGTCAAGCATGTTGATACATTAAGATCTCTGCCAAGCCCCCAGGCAGGAGATTTACAACTGGATGACAGCAATAAATGTTTTGATAAGGGAGTACAGAATATGAAATGCAAGTCTACTGAATACCGTTATTTATCAATCTCTTTTAGAATGACATGTAGAGCATTTTATGATGATATAGGTTTTAAGGTACTTTAGGTTAAAATTTTACCATGTATATGAGTGATTAAAATGAATTTTTTATCAATTACCCTAAGTTGGTATAAATTCTCTGTAATTCACATATAGACTTACATTCAACATTTATTCTAATTGAAAATTCTAATGTGAGTTGCCATGTTTACCTATTTCATCTGTTATTTATGTATGTTTTTGGTATACACTGATATATGGATAGTTGAGATTTTAATTAATAAATTATAACATAAGCAGTACTTTTTTCCATAAGTTTTGTACTAATATGTCAAGGATTATCAAGATGTTTCAAAGCCACTTTTGGGACTTACCAGATAGATTTTCCTTTATTTAAATTAAGATCTTAAAGCAGCACGCCTCCAGATTCATGCTAATTTTCATAAAAATATTTGAAAATGTATTTAACAGTATAATATTGTAAAGTTACCAAAAGAATGCAATTTACACATTATCAATGGCACTTACAACCTATGTGAATTACTATTAAGAGGTCAAAATATACAAAAATAGCCCTTACTGTGTGTGTAAAGCAGTAGAAATATACATGTAGTTACAAAATACTGAAAAATCAGGTTTGATAAATCGAAATATTTTTGCTCATCTGTAGGCGTGCAGCTTTTAATAGACCAACGCGTTTTTCTGTAATTGTATACATGAATTATCATTTCAAATATATAGTTTTACCACTTTAGTCGCTGATATCGGGGTAAGTGTTAAAATATAATTTAATATCAGAATTATTATTTTTACTCTTTCATTAGACTCATGTTTTAAAACAAGAAACGTGTAGTAACGTTTAATTGTTTGTTTGTTTCATTTAACGCCTTTTCCCAATAGTATTTCAGTCATAAAGGCGGGTAGTTTCCTAACCATCGTTCCTGGAGAGTTACACCAGTACTAGACTACCTTCCTCCGTGCTAAACTACCAAAGCATCTCCCGGGGATCGAACGTTTGATTGAAAAATAAACAACAACATCATCATCGTCGTTATCATCATCAACAACAACAATCCCACCAAAAAGCAACAACAACAAAACAACAACATCAGAAACAGACAAAATTACAGCACAAACAAACATAGAAATATTCATTCAATTTGTGAAACGAAAACGCGTATATTGTTAAGTTCTTAGTACAGATTTCTTCGGTCACGATTGCAGTAATCCCATGAGGATAGTATGTTTTGATTTTTTTTATAGAACAGAAGAGAACAGAACAGACATTTTATTTGAGACTTGTACATAATACATCGTCTTGCAAATATATATATAAAATACAATATATCATGTCACATGGTTATGTTAACACTTGAAAAGTATATTGATTGCACCATAATACATACTAAGTAAAACAAAGCAGGAATAGTATTTGAGATTTGTGCAAAAGTAATTCATCATACAATAAACACATATATGCAATCATATAATTTAAATTAATTATGTGCATAGGTCGAGCAACCATTTTAACAAACAGATGAAAGAAATTTTATTGTGTTCAAAATCTGAAGAACATTTGCTTGTAATCATATAATTTGATATCAATTAAGATTAAACAGTATAGAGAGGATGAACATTGTGAAACAGTATACAAAGGATGAACAATGTACGTGAATATCAGTTACTTAATAGTGAAAGTCGTACGTATGTAGCGGCTTTAATATATTTTGCTAGATTTGTTATTACAGTATAATTTTTATTTGTTAGCAGCTGCATCATTTTAAACACACTCGGCCTTTGAAAAAAGTATCTTTTAATGTATTTCTTCCTTATATCTTCATAACATGGGCATTTAAATAAAAAGTGAAATTCATCTTCTAAGTCTAACAAATTGCATTGCAAACAATATCTTTCATTTCTAGGTATTCTATTTCTTGAATAACGACCGGTCTGTATCCTAAGTGAGTGTGCTGATAAACGAAGTTTTGTATAATAACTTCTAAGATTAAAAGGTAAAATATCCAAATAGGTTTCATACCTTAGCTCTTGCTTAATATGTTTATAATTTTCAAGCACTGCACAATTATTTACTGATGCGTTCCAATCTTGTTTATAACAATCAACAATTCGTGTCTTAAAAATATTAGGAAATTTTTTCAAATCAACCGATCTAGGATTGAGGAAAACATCTGCAAATCCATAATCACTTAGTAATTTTTTAACGTTTGAAACCCAGTTTTTACGTCCTTTAATACAATCTACATGTATCAAACCCTGTTCATATGTCTTTTGTAAAATAATATTATCTAACTGTTGCAATTTACACCAATATTTTAAAATTCTTACGTATCTTGTTATATATAGCGGGAATCTTCCTAACTCGCCGTAAACACCAGCACTTGCGGTTGAAATTCTAACATTTAAAATACGTTTGCAAAACTTAAGATGGATTCTTTCAATTACCTTTGATTTTGTGTAACCCCATAGTTCTGATGAATAGTTCAATATAGCACCAACAAATGCGTCAAATAACTGACATAACAGTAAGGGTTTTAATTTAAACTTATTACATTTTACCAAGAGCACATTCAGTGCCTTTAAAGCTTTACCTGATAAGTGCTCCTGATTCATTGAAAAATTACCGGTGTAGTTAAACACCGTTCCAAGATAATTAAAATCATTTACATTTTCAATGTTATGGCCATTGTAGGTCCAACTCTCGTTAGGTAAATAAACTCTGCGCTTTCTAAACACCATAATTTTTGTTTTCTCCGCGTTTACCTCCAAACCCCAGGTATCACAATATGTGTGTAAAAGATCTAAACTGTTTTGCAATTCCGCGGGAGTCTTTCCTAGAATGACCATATCATCTGCAAACAACAACAAAATTAAAACTATGTCGTCTATACATATACCAGGGCTTTCGGGCGATTGTAGTTGCAATTCTAGATCCTCAACAAACATTGCAAAAAGTAGAGGGGACATTACCTCCCCTTGACGTAAAACTATAGCTGTATATGTTCAGTTTAATAAGTTCACAGGATTTTATAGTTTTAATATTTTTCTATTAAATCAAGAGTTTACCTTACTTGTAGAAAACAATAACGAACACTGTTTTCATTTGTTTGTAAGCACAGGATGAATGATGGCATTGAACTAGATTAAAAATGATAGATAAAAATCAATCATGAATGAATGCATTTTTACTGTTAAATTATAGATAGGACAATGGCTTTATGATTTTCAGTAAGTGTAAATAAACATTTACAAAATCGGATATTTACATTATCTGTATGCCATTTAACGACACAATTTTTTTAATGAATTTAATGGACAGTACTCTCTCCTTATTTTAACTAGATAAATATGTTTATTTGTTTATTCCTATACGGTAAGCAGTAATAAAGATTCTATACGGTAAGCAGTAATAAAGATTCTATACGGTAAGCAGTAATAAAGATTCTATACGGTTAGCAGTAATAAAGATTCTATACGGTAAGCAGTAATAAAGTGAAACTCATGATTGTTTTGAACATTCAAATGAACGTAATATATAGCTCGTACAGAAAAAACAACAGAATGATGGACAAATCCGCAATAACCGTTATTATTGGGTATTATTTTCCCATGACTTTCACCAATACACGCCCAAACATTTTTTTATTGTTCATGTATTTCTGGTTATCTTTCTGTCCCAGATGTATTTACAAAATGGAAAACGTCCGACGATTAATCAAACGTATACAGTTTTTGTTTGTTTTACTTTCACCAACATGCTATCTATCGATTTATATAATAACAACAGGCTTCAATTAGGATAAAACAGGTGCTAGCACTTGTACTTTCAATTTGAATTTTCAAAAGATTTAGAGTTCATTTTCCATCAAACCTGTATT